TTTTTTGGGACACCCTGTATATGACCGATTCGAACGTTGAGAATCACAAAATCAATTGGTTGTTCGCTCCTTCGATATCTCCGCTGCTGACTGCGTACGATTTTCGACTGTGAGAATGACTTAGGGTCTTTAAGAACGAAATGTCAAGTACTCCTGAGTAATTCATTCGACGTCTCCACCTATTCCATATTATTATTAGACCAGCTCTCGCACCTATACTAAATTATGCTTTGCTGATTTTTTTAAACCTATACTTATAAGATGCATAGACGCTAAACTTAGTACAAGCATGACTAATTCAGCTTGCAATTATCAGTTCCATCTAAGCCGGCTTTGTCGATCTACCAAGACCTTTTGAATGAGATAGGTGAGAAATCATACACATTCTTAACACCTCGGCAATGTAGTTTTTAGATGTGGATTGCAAAAGAATTATTGGAGGGGATAAAATTTTGGTTGAAAAGGCTAAACAATGGGAGTACAATTCCATACACGCTGAGCTGAAAATATTTGAAGCTAAAGACAAGTAAGCTTTTATCTTTATGTCGCGAATATATTTTCATTTTACAAGAATAATAAACCTTACAATGCAAGTACTGCGCTACGAATATAAAATGTTTTAATCAGGTGTCATGCCATAAAAAAGCTTTTTGGATTTCATGTGGATCTAAAAGATATTTCCGCAGAAGAATTAGCATACCCACTTGCGTATGGTGCGGTTGTTTACAAGAACTTCGTACAGGTGAGTGGATGCTAATACCATACGGGAAAGGTTTGGAAATATCTATTCTTACTCTCTTATACAAAGCACCATTTGATATAGATAATTCTAGGTAATGTTCATGTTAAGTGCATTTTATCGGCCTCATAACGAATACTGCATTGCTGTTAGTGGATCAGCGGAGAAGTCATTCAAGAATTCTATGGATGAGGTTGCCAGTTGTTTCGACAACATTCACGTGTTGGTGAGGTACCGATTTCAGCATCATCATTTTGCTTGCATTTGATTTTGAAAAACTAGGTTTGGTGCAGTCAGGCCTCAGCAGGAGGTTTCTTTAATAAATCTTTGAAAGAAAACCTTTCTGACTTCGTAATAAACAAAAAAACAAGATTGAGAAAAAACAAAAACAGAAGAACAACAAAAAAAACACAT